ACTTGCAGCAACAGGGTGACGTTTTTGTCCTAGCCTTTATTGGTTGAAATTGTGTTTTGTAAATGCATTAATATTTTAAAAAATCTTTATTCATCATACATCCTTGTTTTAATGCTCTAGGAGCCATTTGATTTAGGAACACCCTCATGTTCTGTTAAGTGATGCCATCAATCCAGCTCGACTGGCCATAGCCTCAAATGGTCAATCAAAAGCACTCAGTTCTGCCACAGCTGATACTTCAGCTGCAGCAGAGTGAACCGACCACTGCAGGATGGACGATTAATGAGAAAAGAATTTGGTCTGGGTGGAAATAATGAGGAGGAAGATTCAGGACCCAAGGTGGAAAATAAATGGATGGGAGAAGCAAAGGAAGGAGTGCAGGCTGAATGAGAAATGAGAGTACAGTATCAGGCTCAAGTGATAATAGTGTGGTTGGGACTGGTGCCCCATAGCAAAAATAGGTTGGAGACTGATGGTGTCCTTATTATACGTATTTACAATATATAAAACTAACTCTATTCACTCACGCACATAAATAAAACAAGAGTTAAAAGTAGGGAATGTTCTAGTTTTTAATGAAAAGAAAATGCAAAACTCATCTTTCTAAGTGTAACTGGAAATGGAAGTCTAACATTATTCAGTGATAAATGAAAATGCTGATCACTGGTAATAAACTTCCTGCTGCTATACATCCTGCTATACCTACCAGCCTACACTGCTATTCATTGAGATCTTCTTTACTTACAGATTACTGAACTTATAATGTAATAATGCTTTTGTTTGTGTACTTGTGTACATGTATCTGTTGGTTTAACTTACAAAAAGCAGAACATTATTTAATGAGACACTAGAATGAGACAAATGTTCACTCGTATCATTCCGCTCCATCGTAAACTTTAGGATTTCCTCGCAGAACAAAATTCATGAGTCATGTTCTCACAGTGTATGACTCAGTTCACGGATGTGACCTGAATGAGTTCACTGTAAGTCTGGTAGCAACACGTTGGACATCCATGTTCATAAACTCAGAAGACCCAGAGGCCATTGTGTTGTTACTGATGTCTGCTGTCCTTCGGGCTTGCCATAGAGGACACAAAGGAGGTTATGGAGGTTGGAGGAGAAAGACAAAACAAAAAAGGAAATCAATGTTTTGGGATCAGTTTATTAGACAATAAATAAATAAAAACTTGATTTTTTTGACAATCTTTGACCGTTTGTGCCATTACAGCTCCTGAAATGAGAGAAACCATGCACCCATCTGACAAAGAAAATTTACTGTGCCAGTGTGACCAGTTGACTGGCTGCTTCGGATGTCCATTCCCACGCCCCTCTGTCACCATTGGTCTGGCTTTGTGTAGCCCGTCATGATCATGAGTGGCTGTATCTGTGGGATAACCTCAGGAGGGGCGAGCAAAATATCAAACATGTTTGATATTTTATATATTCATGCGACCGTACGTTTACTGATAGGGAGCTGGTCATGAGGTGTTATTTGTCTCTCGGTACCCCCTGTACACTACAAGATGCACGGCGCAAAACTCAGTCCTGACATCATAGATTCTTGCAGGAGAGGATAATCGTCTCAAAACAGTAAAAAAATACATATATATACCTTGCACAGTGTAAGCCCAGATTTTACAAAATAACAATAAACACCTGTCATCGTTTTCTAGGTGCAAACATCTTTTTTTGTCCGTGACTTCAAATGGTGTTTTTTTTTTTTGGGACTCTGGTAGTTTGTCCTAAAGTTGAAGTGGTAGCAGCTGTCCGTTTCTCCTTCTCTGGTGTTATTGAGCGGAGAACCTCTCACACCTGTGGTGTTCTGGTGCTACATATGCAAGTGTGTCACAAATAGAGAACCCAGGGAAGTTTGGAACAGCGTGAGACCAAAACCTGATGATCCAATAGTTGCTTTTGGACCAAGTCACAGAGGTTAGAGGTTACACCACTTTGTTAACGTTTTTGTTTTTGTTCTTTTATCTCCACAGTATGTTTATAGCTATGCAATGTTGGAATGTTGTTAAGAGGCATGAACAAAATGTTAAAGCTAGTTTGTTTTGCAGATTTGCCATAGCAGCTTTAACTACTCTTGTTACTCTCATCCTTTTTTCAGTATCTGTGAAAATGACTGGTCTATATTTTTCTTCGTCTTTTGTGTCTGTTAAACGAGATTCATTCAAAAGATTAATCCGTCATGGTTCAACGATCACATTTTGAGTTTCATTGAAACTGGTCCAGGGATTTCTTGTAAAGATCCAGCAAAGTCAGCTACACATAATTTTAGCTCAGAACCTGGTGCTACTGCTCACCGTCTCGGCTGGGCAAGCGGCCCACCAGGACAGTCCCAGAATGCCAGATAGGCCTGTCCACCCATGCTTACACACACATCAGGCAAAAACATTATCACCCACTTTTTTGGCTTTTAAGCACCTGGACAGACATTTAGAATGTTTTCTTTCAGACATGGTGAACGTGAACGGGTCAGCTCCAGAGATGTGTCTGTAATTTAATCCACTTTGATGGGGAGCACTTCTGTGCTACATGACTCACTCAAGTGATAAAGACACACAATGCAGAGCAGAGACACACAATCAGACACAAATGCACAATTTGGCTCATTACCATTGGCATAAAATCTTATCTAAAT